AATCTCTTCTTAAATTTTCCGCTGTTCTTTTTCTTTCTCATAGGTGGCGCACTGTCCACTGCATAGGTGGCGCAACGTCCACAGCACAATCCACAACCACAAGTGTAGTCTATGTGGAGTTATTTGAAATATATATATATATTTTTTTCTTGTGAAAGATGAGTTAGCTGTGAATAAATTGCCCCCCCCCCCTTTCCCCCAGAAGCACATGCCCTGCCTCTTGCCATTATAATAGTGTTTTTCTTGGTCCCCAATGAGTGACATGAGAAACCTCCCTGGTATTAACCCTCATGTCAGTTGCCAAGCTGCCAATGATTGACTGGTGTTCTATAAAATTTCTCTTATTTTTATTTAACCATGCTTTGCACAATGAATGGGATGAAACTGTGAAACATTGTGCAATGACTTCAAAAAATCTGTAAAGACATCATCAGTGCAAGTACTAATAGTAGCACAAACGGAGTATCAGTAACTCTAAGAGCACCGAGTTCTTTATATGTGGGCCTGAAATCGTTTCTCCTGTCAAGGGAACAGTGGTGCCATTTTCTTAAATATACATAAAATATATTATTAAATTTCAGTTGATGAAAAGTAAGGAAGGCAATTTTATTTATGTATGGTCAATTAAATAAGATGATGTGTGATGAGTTTACATAAACCAAATGATCTGTGATGTTATGTTGAATAATTTTTTCATATGCCAAGGGGCTCTGTAAAGTGGAAGACTTTTGAAATGGTGTGTGACACATTAATGCATTTTCACTGTGACATTTCGCATTTCTGGTGATGCTTCTGGGTGATATGGAAGGCAAGTTACTGCACTGATGAAGATGAGGCGGCTGGATTGGAGGGATCGTTTACCTCTGCTGTGTTCAAGTCTAGCTACAAACCCTACCAGGTCATTAGTTTTTGAAGATCAGACAAGTCCCTCTTTAATTTTCATCTTGTCAAATGCAAGAGCACCCACCTGGGCTACTGAAGACATTTTAGTAATTTAATGTGGTGTTGGCTACCACTGATGCAAGAAGATACAGACATTCCTTCTAAAAAAATGGTCTTTCCAGGTTTTTGCCGTATGAATGTATTGTTCGTTCTCTTTTCTCATTGATGGCAATGCAATTTTTCTATGTGTACACAGAAAGGGTTTTCTTTGTTGAATTAAGCGAAGTATAGGTGTGGATCATGGGGTATCTTATAAAGTATATGTTATGCATGAGGGAAATTGCGTCCTTTTCAATGTCAAAGACCTTGCTATTCTGCATTCTATTCTTTCTTCCTTTATTGTTTTGCAAGACTTACACATGTCCTGATCTTTTGACAAGAAAGATATTATGACAGTAAGTGACATGATTTCTTTAGGGCTGCTGATAACAATGGGCAGTGGTCCTGACTTACCCATTATCTTAGCATCTTCACAACTTTTCTGTAATATTAAGTGAGACTACTGTATGTGTCATAATGAACTCCAGTACATGGTTGAGTCCATTCAAGGCATTGAAGTGTTTCAATGAGGTGTTTTGTACCACTGATGCTAGGAAGTATTCTTTCTAGAATAAAAACTGGCCTTTCAAGGTCATGGTGGTAATGAATGTATTGTCCATTCTCTTTATGAGATATTAGTGAACTTCATGGTCCTTTGAGTCGAGGCAGTAGATTGTAGATTCCCTTAGTTTGAACTATAGGAGGGGGACTCTTGTTGTAGGCCTGAATAGATCTCATGTGTAGTTGTCCAACATTCTTCTTAATGCTCTACAGTTACTTTATGTGAATAATTTAATTTCTTTCCATGTCTACATTACGGCCCATCCAGATAACAGATATTTCCATTTCTCAAGAATTTCTGACTGCTGCCAGTTGTTTATTTGTATGAAACTAATGCTGTCTTCTGTTGAAAGTTTGAATAAAGTTTGGGGTATTTCATATGTATCCTCATTTCTGTTGATGACATGGCTGCAGCTGTTGTGTAATATTAATTAAAAATTGTTTTAAAATACTATATGAAAAAATGGCATAAAAATGTGCATGTTTTCAGTGGCATTTCAAATGTATATAAATACAAAAGAAAAAAAAACATTTTAATTTTCAAAGTTTATCATATTATGTAACAAGGTTCCCTTCCACGAGTGAATACATATCGCAGGCTCAATCCTAATTCAGGCAGATTCATATACATGTATTATTGAGCATAATGCATTTTTAAAAGCAGAAGTTTATAAGTAAGCTGCATGTAACTATTTTACAGGTTAGAGACTCATTTACACTAGGTCAGAGGCCAGTTTGCGTTGGTGTCCTTTGCAATGGCATACAGGTATATACAAAGCAGCATTGAATTTTCTGATAGTTTAAATGGAATATTCCATTTCATCTGCTTTCTTTGATCAACTTATATGGCAATCAGGCCTTACTAAATATTAAACTCAACTGCTAGTAACCGTTTTCTTACCTGTAAATTAGTTAAAGTATAGAGTTGTGCTGCTTTTAACAGTAAATGCATTATGCCAAATTGGGATTGGAGGATTTAGAATACGCCTGGATTGGGACTTGGCCTGTGACATATGTCCTGGTATACTTGCAGAAATGTTCAAGCAAACTCCATTGGACGAACTGTGCAATTCAGTCCCTGTTGCTAACAAAAAGAGGGGTCAGTCAAGAAACCCCCAGGAGAGGAGAGATGGAGGTTGAAACCAGAGATTTTAGATGAATTGGAACAGATTGGAGTGGAGGTGGGTGGCTCTTGTAGGTGGTGTGTCACCTTACACGTTGAAGACGAGTAGAGCCCCTTGCCAGAATTGTCATGGAATCATGGAGTAAGTTTCCTACTAAGGTGTCTTATATTTATTTTACTTATTTTTCTTTTGTCATTGCCATTTTCAATTCAGTCAGTTGCCAACGTTTCTCTTGATTTTATTAGTTTAATTACCAATTTTCCTTTTCTTATCTTGTGTAAGCTCTGTAAGGAGAGGTTCATAGAAGTTAGATTCTTCCCAGAAATCCTTGGATTTTTCTCGATTATAAAAGTTGGATACTTTTTAGAAATTCCGAGATTCTTCTAGTTGATAGAAGTTACATTTTTTAAAACTTTCTCTTCCTGTTTCTTATTTTTCATACAATAGTTTTGTGTGTTAAAATATAAATTTCTGATAACATATTAAATACACAGACTGAAAAATAAAACAGCAATTTGGTGTATAAATTGTGTAATATTGTATGCTGTACATAGGCAAAATGCCTTTTCAAGTTTTTCTCTTAGTTTCAAAGAGAAAGAAAAATTGTTACTCAATCAATAGTGACTGCACATTTGAGAATATTGCTTACTACTTTCAGTGTACAAGGGCTGAGGATCAGCTTGCACTTGGACAGATTAAAGGCATAATAACTCTTTGTATGAGACCTATATTTCACAATAAAAACCTTGTGAATAACTCATAGAAATATAATATATTCTGTTTTACCACAAAAACAGCAGTTATAGCTTTTATTCTGATATTTAAACTTGTCTTTAGACCACGTGACCTCCATTGATGTCTATACTCTGTTAAAATCTCTTAAGAGATTTTAACAAAAAACCAAACTTTTTAGAAAAAAACCAGGGACTAACTTTGAATGTAAAAATGGATTCATTAACCATTGGTAAGTATGGGAAAATTGTTGTTTACTCCAGGAAAATTCATTTTTTGGCCAAAACGAAGAGTTATTATTGCTTTAAAGGACTTGCTTGGACTTGTACAGGAGTAGCAACAAGCAATGTGCACTTTTTTGCACAACATTTGAACCGTCAAGTGTGAAGAACATGAAAAAGTTGTTATCAAATAGAGGAAATGGGAAATACTTACAGAATATTGAAATTAGCAAATGATGGAAATATTATTTCTAAATTGATGGTAATTAAAAGATTGAGGCAATTACTAATCAAAATTTGTGTTTCTGAACTGTCAAGAGCAAAAGGCACTTGGACAGGTTAAAAGATTGGCAGAAAAAGCAACAAGCAGTGTCCTTGTGATATTTACAAGCAAGAAAATGGTCAGATAGAAGAATGACAAATGTATTTAATAGTGATCAATCTAGAAATTTTGATGTGATATATGACCCATGTGCTCTTTTTTCCCTTGGTCATTTTGGGAGTATGGTACATCAAGGTATTGAAAATACGAATTGGAATCTTCAATTTTAGACAACAGGCGGTGTATCCAGACTTATGCAAATTTTAATAATTAAAATTATTTACATGTATGTCAGTGTATTGGCGATGAACCTGGACTGCCACTCAAGTAACAAGTTCATACCATGCACTTACAAAAAAATCAGAATGTGTAATTTTAATAATAAATCCGAGTAATGCCTCAATGTGAAGGACTGCAAATCTTTTAATCCAGAAAGAACATGTTAACAGTGTTTAGATAATGTTGAAATAAATATCGTCTTTTTTACCACTCCAGGATTCTAAATATCACTCCCTGCATGTCAAATATATATTTTAAAGTAATATAACTATCTACGATGTACATGTATGTCTTAAAACTGAAAGCAGTTGATTGTACATTCAGATTATCATAAAATGCTACCAGGGTGCATTTAGATTATCATAAAATGCTACCAGGGTGCATTTAGATTAGCATAAAATGCTACCAGGGAGCATTCTCTTACCTTCCACCCGTTAGCCAGTTCGACCCATTAAAATCAGTTGCAAGTTGTACAAGTGAAAATATTTTTTAAATTAATTACATATCTGCGTCCAGATTTCAAATTAGAATTTGAATTGAAATAAAATTTACGGTAATATGCCAAACAATTCGACCAAGATTAATTAATTAATTTCATGGAAATGTCAGTTTGGTCGTACGCTGATCATAGAAGTGGCCAAATATGGAGCTCAATGAAACTAGCCAGTTTTTCTGTGTTAAACTACAGTAATTGTCTGAATTATATAAATGCAATAGTGCATTTGCAGCAAATTAATTTGTAATCAAACTGAATATAGATGTTAAATGTTGATGGTGATTTTACAGTATTCCTGGACCCTTAGAAGATGTCACGATGAGCTCTACTTGTTTCACGCGATCAGATAGTAATATCTGGTTGGCTGCCTCTCGGCCTGTTGACACCGCCCTCTCCATCAACGCGGAAGGATACGCCGTTTTTAACCAATCACCGGCAAGATGCAAATTTGGCAGACCACATTCCATTGGGAATGACGAATTAGGCCGGAACATCTGCAAGTTGAGTTCAAAAGATGAAAAGTTCTCAAACGAGTTGACATGGTAGCCTAAAATATTGAACATCCTTTCGAAAATCTCTGGATAAATCAGCTTCACCGTGGGAGAAATTATTGTCCACACTTGATCGTCTGTAACGTCGCCGTGCGCCCATTTGTAAAGGTGGAATTCCAGTACAGAACCACCGGTCTTGTTGGCCCAGGCGCTGGCCTCTTGTTCCAGGCGGTGGTACTGCGCCACGAGGTTGACTGGGGTGTGTTGGGGAGTCTCGAGAATATCTGGTGTGGACGCGTTGAGCTGCTTGTCGAACCAAACACGGAGAACCTGGCGGAAAGGGGTGCAAAAATATAATCAGGTTTGCTCTCTTTTTTCTTTCTGATAAATTAGGTCTGAAATAAGTATCCTTTATGTGTGAATATAAATTTTAAAAGCAGTATTCACTTTGTATTTGAATCATCAGGCGTTTGAGTGTCCGCTTAACGTGTACAACTGACAATGCTTCATCAGAAAACGATGATATCAGACGAGCTTTTTAGAAGATATGTATTTGAATGAAGTAATCGCCAAAATGTTACCTTTTCAAAAGAAGTTTGTAATTGCATAATTGAAGAGAACGTTAACTGTGCCTACCTTATAAGGTGGGGCTAACTTCATGCGAGACACTTTACTCCATAGTTTAGACAGACTATCCGTTATTATGGGTTTATTGCCGTAATAAGACAAAGTCGCATTCAGAACGCTTTGCGTGCCCACGATGTCCATCGCTGAAACCACGTGATCATACACGACAGCGTCCTTGCTATCACCGGTCACCTGTCCTTGGTCACTTATGGTTAGACGCTCAACTGAATAGTTGGAATGCAACCTGTTAGAATAGGAACACGTGTACAGCTGTAGACTGACAGTCTTTCATGTTAACATAATATTGCAAAGAACTGTATTCCTATTCATTGCGCGTTAAATATAAATTAATGATTTTTGTGTCTGGATTATCAATGGTGTAAAACATTTTATTCGAAATTTCACGCAAGATTTATTTAAACTAATTGATAGTCCCCTGCTCACACTATAATGTAAAATAGTACCTTACCCATGCGCTGTTCAGATTCTTACAGGCCCGTAGCCAGCAATTTCAAAAGGGTTTTTTTTTCTGAAAAAGTGGACCTTTTTCCATAAAAAAACTTCATGTACCTCGATTATATTTTACCCAGAGTGGACCTTTTCCCAGCAAAAGGGGTGGTTCTTTCGAACCCCCTTGGCTACGGGCCTGTTCTTACAAACATTTTTTATAAAAAAATTAATTACTCCACATGGAGCTCGGACAGCCGATCAAGCCAGGGCTGCAGGATGGCTTTCCCAAAGCTGTATATGGTCACCTCGCGGTGGTCAGCCTCCGCATTGGTCAGGAAATAGAGCTGCATGTACCTATGTTAAAATATGCTTCAAATCTGATAATTTATTCATCTATGGAGCACAAATTACACTAAATTTTACCTGTATTAATTTAATAGGAAATATTGCGCCCCCTCTCCACTTACTAGATTGGTCTTAATTGAAACGGGGAAACGGGTAAAATATTCCTAGTATCAAAAATATATGCCTTTTAGAACATTACTTTTATTAAACACCAGAGGTGCCAGAGGTATTAAATGTCAACAATAAACTATGAACCATAGCGAATAATTTGAGATACGTGTTCCGGTATAAAGCATACATGTAGGCCTATACATCACTTTTGAAGTTCAGTCGGCGCATTATTTATTTTTAATCAAACCCTCTATACACCAAAACTTAAAACCCAACATTGTTATTTTAAAGTTAGTTTTCCGTTTTATTAAGCATTCTTTAAGTTATAATCATAAATCATTAGTATAATTACATGAGCATCTCAGCTGCACTGATGGCCCTGGGTTCGTTCAAGGTCACAGAGAGGGCGGGACGAAGGAGAATATCGTTCAGATCTCGTTGCACGCCACGCATGGTGGCCCACTGGTCAAATGTTATGTTATCATACCTTAAAAACAATGATATTATTGTTATTATTCCACAGATCATTTTTCGTCATGTGGATATCTTATTTGTTTGCGTATATTATTCTTGGAAAGTATCCTTTTTGTGTCACTTTGGTCAAAAGACAAAATCATCATCACATTTTGAGGCAAAAGTTACTTTATGCAACAGCATATGTACAAGACGAGACAGTGTAATGGTGCTAAAATCGCTAATCCAATAACTTTGTCAAAAACCTTCCAGTCTACAGGTACAATAAATGCCAATGTGATAAATTATAAATTGATAATAAAAACAGACAGTGCCCTAATGTTTTAAACAAAGCCGTTGTCTATAAAAGATTAATGAATCAATTTTCTTACAAAGACCCGGATGCAGACTTAACTTTCAGTACTTACTTTTGATACACTGTGTCGTAGTCGAAGAAATCCAGATCTGGCAACATTAGACTGGAGAGAATAGCGTCCGTCAGTTTGATATTGGGACTCCTACTGATAATGCCTAGAATGACAATAAACCGCTTTAAAGGCACTACGTGCTTTAAGATTAATCAAAAGAATGGAAAATACCTTATAGGCCTAATTTTCAGCATTTAATGAAACACGGGCTACTATTGGTCAAAGTTTATGTATTAATCTTTCTTATTTCGAACACCCAACCGTATTACTTAATTATTTAGTTGCTAGTATTGCCACTAGTATCCATACATTTTTTCATTGACATAATAAGCAAGAATCCCCGATATGTCGGATCGATCTATGTTGAACGATAGTTTCATTGGGAATGAGCCTTAGTCACGTGGCGTCAAGTCATTTGGGACCTTGAAACTCTGATAAAACTCTCTTGATAACAAGACGAAAAGCAGCCGGCCTTGTTTGACGACACCTCTAGACCTAAGCCCCGACCAAATGGATCTATATTTACTGAACCCGATAAAGTGACGATTGCTTCCTTTGTCATTGAGGTGAGGACAAGGGCACACTTAATCCAGGGCAAGATGATCACCTAAAGGGGCATTTGGTGTCTGTTGGACACAATGGTGTCAGGGTGACGTAACAAAACATTACGGGTCTCATTTAATGATTTATACTCTGCTTTGGGGTACTGGTTCCCCCTTATCACAAAATCTGAACTTGGGCCTATAACACAAGGGCTGAATGTTTGACTTTCTTTGACCGAGTCAATGAGTATTTTAGTAGAAAAGTGAAGGAAATAGTGTGCCCTGGTATTTAGAAATAACAGTGTACCTAGTTTCAGATATGCCCCCTCCATATGTCCGATAGTCTCTAGCCTACCCATAGGTTGAACAAATATGCCCCACCCCCCATTTCATTGGGTTTAGGCTTACCAAGTTGGTTGAACGGATACGCCCCATCCATCCATGTTCACTAGTTTCTAGCTTACCCGGTATATTGAGCGGATAGGCCCCCCTTTCTTTTTTTCTTTTTTCACACAATAGTTATGTGTGTTAAAAAGATGAATGTTTGATTAACATCATTTTATATATAGAAACTGTGGTCTCTAGCTTACCTAGTAGGTTAAGGGGATAAGGTCCCTCGCTGTAAATCGTCTCCGGCTTGTAGTCCAAGAAGATGTAGTGAACGGCCTTCCATACGCGAAAATTGTTGTCGATTTTCAGACGACGGCGAATATCTTTGAATTGATGGTAATTAAAGAACCATGCTACGGAATGACAAATTATAAATAGAAACTGAGATAAGAATATGCCCTGAGAAAAATGGATTAAAACAAAACTGTGTAGAAAAGGGTCTTGTGTAGAAAATATTGAGTAGTCCACTTACAAAGATTTTTTTTCTCAGGATAAATGAATAACAAATATTTAATGAAAAATATAAATAACTTAGTCCGTATGAGTCGTATTCTGAATGACTCGTTTAATAAGTAATTTGTGGGCAAACCCATGTTTTGATCTGATTTACTTTCACAAATAATCTCCCCCAACCCCTCTCAATTTTTTTTTCATTTTGAAGAATTCAAAGATCAACAATTATTTTATGGAGCCTTTAAAAACATTTAATTTGACGGCAACCCGAGGGCTAAATAATGCCCAGTCCCTGCAGCCCCCTACCATGAAAGCCATGCTCGACATCAAAAGCTCCAAGCCCTGGTAGGTCAACCCTTCTGGTAAACAATTTCCCGCCGAACACGTCACTCTTCTCCTTAACTGTGACGTCATAGCCACGTTCCGCGAGCTCTAGTGCAGCTGAGAGGCCTGCTAGGCCGCCACCTTAATAATCGGCGTATAAATATAGTTAATTCCATAAGTAAGCCTTATGACGGTGCGGTTGCGTCACTTTAGTTTAAATCGTGCTTCATAAAATATGGGTAAGATACGTTTAAAACGTTGTTATTCAACAATAATGAATACATACACGATATGAAACGAAATAGATGGATTGCATCTATGATTGCAGTAACAAAAATTAAATGGATGTATGGTATGAACATGCTATTCTAATGAGTGGATGTATTCAGTCATCCAGTAGAATTAGAGTGACAATTATGTATATAAATCTGACACTGGAACTAGTTTAAGTACATGTACAATGTATCAGGTTACAAACGTAAGTTCCAGGACCAAAAATACAAAATGCATTAATAAGAGGCACCGATCGAGATAGGCCTATAGGTGCGCAGATAGCTCTGAGTTAACTCCTCTTTAAACTCCTTTCGAAAACTTACCTAGAACGAGAACTCGTTTTTGTATGCCATCCGGCAGACGGTCAGGGTCGCTGGGGTTCGCGGGCGGTATGGTTCGAGGAGGTTTGGGGAACGCCCAGGCGCTAACCAACAGTACTAGCGCTACAATACAATGGTGCAGTTACGCGTTAGAAGCATGTCACGTACCAAAGCCCCTAGTAATACGGGATACCATTGATTTGTACATGTAAACTTCATCCTAGATATGACCCACCTACGTCACGATAACCCTAACCTGTACGAATTTAATGGAGGGCGGACGCTCTGTTACCCTGACCCTCGTTTTTTTAGCACTGCCCATTTAACCTTGTATCTTCAAATAAATTTTTTATTCACCCTTTTGTTTTTAGAAACAGTACGGATTTCAATGCCTTTTTAGTTCAAGAGTGAGGGAATCTAAAACCAATATCTTACACATTAAATAGAGAAACAAATTGTGCATGTCACGTAAGAAAATGCAGTTGAGTGAGAAAACGTAAATCAATATCTTTTAAATTAAATGGAGAAACAAACAGTACAAATCACACAAGAAAATGCAATCAGTTGCAGAATTACGGCCTAGTTTCTGACAGGAGGAGGAGCTGCATCTATAAATTGTGTAATAAATGGACATTGAGATAACTTACCTAGAGAACACTCACGGATGATCATGACTTATACACTGTTCCTATCAGCCTGATATAATCTGGCCAAACTATGTGGCAGGTATCTTTATATTTACATCAGTTTAGGACTTTAATCCTTACACAATCTGATATAAGTTTGCGTACATGAGATATATATCTTATCAAAGGTTAAGAGAGGTAAACACATCGTTGATGGGGTATAATTCGTTTGAGAACCAATGGGTCAATGAAAATGCCCTTTACCCTCGTTTTAAGCGGTGGTTTTTCAAATTCTGCCATCCATTCGATTTCAATTCTCGCGCCGGCTTCCAGATCACGCGCGATTTCAAAGATGGTTGACGAGCGGCAAGGTTTACCAGGAGGTAAATACCCTTTGTTTTACTTCACTAATCAAACGGATCAATGTTCCAGTGATAGGTTTCCACGAAGTCGGGGAATCAGTTTATTTTCTTTTTGAGTTTTCTTCATATTTACTGTATTTATTTAGTCATTTGCCATAGTGTTTGTTAGCCCTTCAAGTTAAAGTTAATATCGCTATAACAGAAGACACACTTCCATTATTTACCGTGGACTAAGCAACAACAACAACAACAACAACAACAACAACAATAATAATAATTATTATAATAATAATAATAAATCTAACAGGCGCTAGTCTTAAAGGAAACTAAATGACTCCGCAAACCAATGCCGACAAGCTGATCCCTCAGACGTAAACACATTCTCACTTATATTTAGGCGTCTTCAGGAACTTTTTACATTTCACAAATCTTTTCATAGCAAGTATTAAGGACCGCCAGCACGCTACTTTTACCTTATACCCATCACACGTAAACCCTTATTAGGAAGAGAAGCAATAAATAAATAAGACTAATCATATAAGTAATTTATTTCTTCACTAATATTAAATATAAATTTCCAATAATTATGTATAATTTGAACCAAAAAAAAATGATTTTTTGTAAGGGTACATTCGCTGACCCTATCGTACTAACTGTGGATCGATCTATCTGCAAGGGGGGTTCTCGCTAAATTGCTTTCCGCTTAAGCGGCTTAGATGTCTGTCACGCCTACTGAAGCTGTGAGGGGATAATTAATTATCGTTTAACAGCTTCATTAGGTGTGCCAGAAATATAAGACGCTTAAGTGGAAAGCAATTTAATGAGAAAACATTTGGAGATGGATCGATCCTGTGAGATCGATGTAGGTATGGGAACCCAGTATAAATGTCGTTTGCGACAAAGCACGTGCTCGTGTGTGTCTGGTCCTGTGCCATCATTTGGAAGGCACATTCCCTTTAAACTAGTCCAACCGATGATGACTCTAGTCAAGTATCTGGAACTAACCGACCAATTAGACCTGTATCCTATAGGTTAATCACTGCTGCAACGCCGACATTGTCAAACAATGTCTTCTATGTGGAGTTTTAAGTCCGTAAAATCTGCCGGGCTTATGACCCCATTTGAGCGTTCGGACCTCGATTTTGGCCTGCTAGTGTCATAACTCAGATCTGTACTGACATAATCCACTTTATTGCTTGCAAACACCCATCGAGAAAAGTTTACCCTAAAACCAGACGATGGTTTTCGTTTCTTTGGCAACATTAAATGCAAGTGGTCCCAGAAGTTGTTTTCAGTCCTCGGCCTTCTCTCCGATGGCCACCGCACTGGTTTGGCAATCTTAAGTATATTTCTGAGATCTTTGTCTGTGGAACTTATTTTACTTATGTCTTCATATATCAAAGGTATAATGCTGTGCTTGGATTGAAGCATTTCCAACTGCGCGCTAAGAAAGTGAAATCTGCACCAGCCGTTCTCGATAAATCTCGGAGAGAGAACGAGAATTGTTCTTCGGCTTGATTCCACGGCTTCTATCACACTGACACTTAGGACTAAAAAGTTTGAATAAAATAAAAAAGAAAAACATTATAAGATAAACGGAAACTAGTCATTTATGTTAATATTAACGTCTTCCACTATTATTGCCAAAATGAAATATTGGTGCACTAAATATGCGAGTTATGTCAGTTCATGTGCACAGATCTATGCGCGAGCGTACGTGCGTGTATGTGTGTGCGCGCGCACGTGTGTGTGTGTGTGTGTGTGTGAGAGAGAGAGAGAGAGAAAGAGAGAGAGAGAGAGAGAATGACAGAAGGAGAGCAGGATGAAGGGGACTTGAACATTCAAAGAAACTTCTCCAGTAAGGATCTCGGACCATCCAATTTTCAGAAAACTCACCTTCTCCAGGCAAAAATTCCTTGTAGTCAACACACACTCGCATATTATATGTCTGTTCCAGTTTAGGAACCAGTGTTCGAACGACGAATATTTCGTCTACCGAGTCTGGGCAGTAAGACACGAATACATCATAAAGCTTATCATCTGCAAAATACAAAATAAGGATAATATCGCGAAATACAGCAACGTTAGAGAGAGAGAGAGAGAGAGAGAGAGAGATGAATCCACAGAAAAAAATGTCAAGGCAAAAGTATTTAATGACAAGTACAGAAAACAATAATTAATATATTAAAAGAAAAAACAAACAATTTACCTGTATCTTCGTACTTTCCAAAATATCTCTTCGCTCTCAGTTTTATGATAAACCGTTTCTGGTACACGACCCAAGGCAAAACCACCACTGTCACCACAAACAACAACGCCAGACCAGTGATGGTCGCTATGGCGGCACGGTTGTCAATATGAAAAGGTTGGTTAGTACCAATTGGTTCCGATACCAAGAGCTCTGCAACAACAACAGCAACAATAATAATAATAATAATGATAATAATAATAACCACCAAAATGTAGGTATTAATAACACCTTAATAAATTCTACAGTGGAATTCAGTTGTACACATGGTTGGCTTGACGATGAATTATTTGTCAAAAAATAAACAAAAAGGTAGGCCTTAATGAACGTCAAAAACCAGTGGTGTAAAAGATTTGCATCCAAACACACACAAAGGCATGCACATCAATTTAAAACCCTAATATCAAAAAAATTCCTTCAAACACGCACACACTAAGGCAGTCACAATCTTTCTCACCTCTTATCTCAACTGACACATTACTGGACGCCGTCTCCGTGCTTGCCACACACACGTACTCCCCCACGTCCGTCCTATTCAGTGGCGAGATTTTCAGGACATTTAGAAAACGGGTTCTTCCTTTGCCGCTGTAGAAATTCTCGTGGAAACGAGAGCTGATCTTGCTGATTCGCTGTCCATGGCGTAGCCACTAAAATAGGAAACGAATGTAAAGAAACAAATACAAAATACCTTTCTTTAATAAAAATTGATGAATATTTTTACCACAGCCAGGTCGAACTTCGCCGCTCGTCAGCTGTCTTTTAAGACAGTTTAACTTTTAACGTGCTGATTCCTAATGGCAGTGTAGAGCCCGAAGGGACGGCGGAATTTGAAAACCATCGTTATGTGTGGGCTAAGGCCTACTTAATTTTCCCAGATTCCTACAGAGTTATGGCGAATGTCAGAAAAGGTAGAGAAAAGTTTGGTTAGTCTTTCATTATACTGCAGTTTTTTTCTGTAGGGGGAATCAGTAACAGTCACTGATACATGTTCGTGTTATCTGTCGCAGTGGGCATGATAACGGATTTTCTGCATACACGTATAGCGTCAGGTGGTTCACACAACACACGCCACCTTCCTTAACGACCCAGGCATTTATATTGACAAAGCTGCACTATATTCTCCTTAACTCAGCGGCAGTGCTTGTCCGGTAAAGAAGTCAATTTAGACGTGCCTTTCTATCAGTATAAGTTAAGTTTTCAAAACATTTTGAAGTCGGAGCGGAGCTGCAAAATGGTATCTCGGTGTGTGTTTTGTTCCTGTTCTATCTTAGATACCGCGCTGTCCTTTGACGGGTTCCTTTCTACGCAAGGCAGTAGCTTAAATTACAAAAATATACTGAAAATTCCGTGATGTTATTCTGCTAAACGGTTGCATTATTGTCACTGCATCAAACTGATCGTGACATTTTTCGATTCAACAATAAGTTACTTTGACTAAAAAAGCCTTTGCACGTGCTTCATACGACGTCGAAAAGCATTAAGCACGGCACACGCCTCGGCTTATTTATCAAACCGCAAACAAAACACACGTGACAGTTTTAAGGACAGCACCTGTACTAGCCAATAGAAACAAGTCGCATGTGAGGAGAATTCAGTGGAATTCCCCATAAGGAAGTACCCTTGGTATTCCGTTCATGCATGTTCAGGTTTCATTGGTTTACGTTCCATGTCATTTATCTTTTAAGATAAGATGGTGCCCTAGTGGTCGAGGGAGGTGGCACCAGCTTTGCGGTAAAAACTGCTTCTGCATGTGCAAACAGACAGCAAAAGTTAGGTTAATTTGACTGTATGTTAAGAGTTAAGAGACCTCACAAATTTTAAGCGTTCATATGTCCAATTTCAAGCGGCACATAAACATTCACTTCTGTTTAAGTGTCCGTCCAAACATACACTATACATACACTAAATACACTTACCTTCAATTCACACGTCTTGCTATCGAAAGGGCGATGAAAATCAAACTCACAGAGGAAGAGGAGCTCTTCGCTTACATTTCTTGACAAAAAGGAGATGGTAACATCTGAAGACAGGTGAATTAGCGTTGGTGTTACACCGTCCGTTTCGCCCGCGGTAGTCACAGCTGACCACACGCTAGGTGATGTCAAGTGCCCCTTATCGCCTGCGGTTGTCCATGCGCCTCGTGCATCATGGGTGGTTGTCATATATTGCTCCTCGTGGGTCGTAGCTGACGCAGTTGGTGACGTTTGCAAACTCGGTGACGACGAGGAGGTCACGCTGACATTGAAATGGGTTACTCCGGAACCTTGGTCTGGCACATACCGTGTTGGGACATCCGTCCACGAAGAGGGGGTCTTGTCGGGGGGCTTGGGTTGCGGCGTCACAGTACTGGGTGAAGGAGTGACAACTGTCCCTGGCCTTGGTACTGCAGTACGTGGCGATGGCGATGGCGTTGGCGATAGCGTGGTCGCTGGCATGGGCGTTGGCCTTCCAGTACGTGGCGGTATCCAAGGCGTTGGCTCTAGCCCCGGAAACACTGATGGAGTAGGCCTTTTTGGAGTTTCTGGCATGGGCGTTGGCCCTGCAGTTCGTGGCGGTATCCAAGGCGTTGGCTCTAGCCCCGGAAACACTGATGGAGTAGGCCTTTTTGGAGTTTCTGGCATGGGCGTTGGCTGTGGCCCCTGTCCTTTTGTTGGGGTAGGCCTTCTTGGAGTTTGTGGCGTGGGCGTTGGCTCTGCAGTACGTGACGGCATTAGTGAAGGTCTTGGTATTGGTGTTGAAGATGGCGTCGGCCCGGGCCAAGTCGTCGGCCGTAGCCCTGTAGGACTAGGTCGCAGTGCTGTTGGCATTGGCGTCAGTATTGGCGTCGGTCTTAAGGTTGGAGTTGCAGGTGCCTTTACAGTAGAATTCGTTCCTGGGGTTCCTCTTGCCGTAGTCTGACCAGATAATCCTGGCGTGGACTCCGTACCTGTACTGGGCCAGAGGTCCTGCGTGGGTATGAGAACCTTTGTTGGCTTCCTAAAGCTCGTACTGCTGTGTTCTGAGGAGGTTCCAGGAGATTTTGACACTGTCACGATTATTGGGGGTGGCCTGGTCATTGTAGAAGTAGGAGTAGTGGACGGGGAACTTGACACTGTGGAAGTAATTAAACTTTGATCTGGAAGAGTATGAATCGAGTTCATAACTAGAATGTCTTCCGTATGAGGAAACGTTCTATTCCAATCTGAAATATCTTCAGCTGGCTTTTTAAACTTAAGATTTTCAAGAAAAGAAATATAGCTGAATTTTGACAGAAAACTGTAGGCTTACCATTTAATAATAATCACGAGAACTAAGTACTGTTTAGTTTAGTTAAACATTTTTCAAACTATAAAGATACTTGTATTCGTTACACAAGAAAAACATTACGTCATTTCTTTACACAGATTCTATTCGGGGAATTTTAAATAGATCCACAATGGTCTATTTGCACCTATGATAGGAAAGACCATGCAACTTGTCTTTTACAACTGAATGCTCCGATGGACAGTTTTCAATTGACACATAACACTACAACTTACAACAATGTGGCTTTCCAACATATGCAGACGGCCACAGTTGTCGAAAGAGAAATTCATTTCATAACTCGATGGCTGATAGCAAACAAGTGATGTTGATTAATATTTAATAGGAATACGTACCGCAAAGCTCCCCTGTCCAGTTCTCGCAGCATCGTTTCCGAAGTCTCGTTGCCAGGCGGGTTGCGGTCACGTGACGAGTCTTTGTAATACGTCTATAAAAGACAAAATACACGAGGAATTTAGATTTAATTGTCTTTATATCATGGGCACTATTCAAGAATTGGACAAATATCTCCTTAAATTGTCTAAAGTAAGCAATTTTTTTCCAAAAGGTCATTGTAATATCCAGATATTTCATCCGGCCGAAACAATACTTTGATATTTTTCTACTTAAAAGATTTTATGTAATCTCAGTAGATCTTAATTGTTTGGCATCTTAGCCATTCAGGGTAGCCGCGTGTATTTCCTCCTATTACAGGGGTATCCCGCGAGTTATCTTTTTTTAAACAACTTCACAAACTGGCACAAACTGAATTTCCTATAGAAAAATCAACGTGCCCCCTCCATCACCGAGGTACTTCATATCAAATACAATTGACATACCCCCGATCTATAAACTTGTTTCACTATTCCGATTCGCTCTCATAATGGGGATGGAATCTGTTGAAATCAACTTCTATTCGTAAAATAAACAAATGTAAAAGGACTTCCAATAAAGTACAGAGATCGCGATTTTCAAGACAGATTTGGATAGGAGATACATGTACCTTGGGATGAAAAGTAACTGGAATAATTTCCAGAAAATTTCATTATTTTTTTTATTGTCTAAAGTCAAGCACTCATTGCTAATCAAGTGACAATGCACCAGGCAAAAATTGCTAAAACTATTCGACGAGTGTACAGACATGTAACAAAAACCACAGACACACTATAAATGTATTCAGACGCATTTCCTGAATAAAATGATTATATATCACAATGTTTAAATGTATATTATAGTTACACAGGTAGTGTTCCATGTCAACATAAACTCAAATTTGACCGTGCAGCCCTTGCAGTTTCGTATATTTTTCTTGTTTATATTGATCAATTATCGATTACTGTGTGTTTTAAAAAATCATTATACAATCGGTATGTGATATTGCACTCGGCTAACCTCGGCTAATTCCGTATATTTACCCGAGGTTACATTCAAATTACGTAATCCGTGGAGGACCTGGAATGTGAATTACCTTTGCACGCGGCATCTGCCCCACCCAAATATACCACAGGACTGAGTGACGGAGACATGGGTGACCACGGGTTCGGCCCTCAAGTACGTCTCCTGGTACCTGTAAACAATACAATGCTATTATGTTAATTTAAAACAGTTTTCGTCATTTTTGTTTACATTAATAATAATAATAATAATAATAATAATAATAATAATAATAATAAATTCAATGGTATCTTAATGTATATTGTGAGGAGTTTCAAACATAAAGTATAGGTTTCGGCCTATAGAGCACGTTCTCTGGTTGAATAGCTATATGACCGGTTGAATGATACCCATGTGACAACTTTTTAGTAATGTTCTCTTTTTCTCTATAAAATGCAAAAAAAGACGTCTTTGGTGTAGTCCTTATAATGCTCAAATGCAATGAAATTTATACAGTCCCAGCGGGCACTCAACGTTGATTCAACATTGAGGATAGGTTGAGATGATGTTGATCCATCAATATTGATAGATCAACAAGATCTCAACATTGTATCAACCTTTTCTTGTCAACCAATTGTCAATGTTGATAGATCAACAGGGTCTCAACATTGATTTAACCTTTCTTTGTCAATCAATTTTCAATGTTGATAGATCAACAGGGTCTCAACATTGATTTTACCTTTCTTTGTCAATCAGTTTTCAATGTTGATAGATCAACAGGATTTCAACATTGAATCAACCTGTGTTTGTAAACCCTTTGTCAATGTTGACATATCAACTGGATCTCAACATTAGGCCAACCTTAACTTTATAACCTTAATCATAACCTTGATAATAGTTTTAAATTATTATCTCACTAGAGAGGTATGCATAGGGGTAATTGCCCCTCATAAAACGCTTGTTTTACCCCTTTTTCATTAAAATTAATTTTGTGAAAAAAGCGGTCATCAGTTTTTTTTAACTTTCCACAGGTTATCTTTAAGAAAAAGANTTGATGGTTCAACGTTGAGTCAACTTTCATAGTCAACGTCATATCAACATAGTATCAACGTTGATTCAACATTGATTCAATGTTGATTTGCCCTCTGGGGTTATGTTATGTGTATCATTACACAGGTCATTAATATCTATACATTGACCTAAACAAATTCGTCATGACCTCTCTGACTCAAGTCGATTAATAAATGATAATATCGATTGACTAAGTAATCCCGATCTAAGACCCCATTCCCACAAATTTTAGATCGATCTATCCCTGTGGAGAGTCTCAATAGATTACTGTCAGCTTAGCCGGCTTAAGCGTCTGTCCTGCCTACTAAAAGCTGTAAGGGACTAATTAACTATGGTGCCCGCTCGGCTGACTGCAATTTAGCGTGAACCCCCAGGGAGTTAGGTCGATCCGTATGGATCGATCTAAATTTCTGGGAATGCACTCTAACACTGGGTCTGTTAAATCTGTTAGTCTGCGGATCAACTAAGGTTGTGAATGCAGCTTATTACAGATAACGTGATCTAGAGTACACATTTTAATCATTTCTTAACCTGATTAGGTATTTAAATCAGTTCAACACTAATGCATGCCTGATATGACTAACACGTACATTCTTGTTGTTATTATAATCTACTCAGAACTGGGAGAAAGGGCAATCTACATGTATAGATCTACCGCTGTCTATTATACTAGAGGCCTACTAAGTGATGATATTAAATCCACACCAACATTCTCGACAGGGGAAAATTGTTTTAGATTTAGCCACAGACATATCCCTAAATATCCAGTGAAAAAACAATCTGTGGGCCTGGCGGTGTAGGGGGTGTGTGAGAAAATGGGGCATTATACTTTGTAATTACTGAGACGACAAACGCAAACAAACAATAACCCATCCTTAGAAAAGAAGCGTATTTCAAACATTAATACTTTGCTGTAGAATTGATTAAAATGTGAATCTTTTAACTCATGAAATAGATAACATGTGACCTGGTAATAATTAAGGCAGACCTGGTTACGTGCCTTTTGTAGGTAAAGTCATATATGTCGCCTGCCACATAATTTGAAAACTGTACTCATAACAGACGACAGCGACAGAAATAAGATGTTGATGCAGCGATACTCTCTGACCGCAGGGTACGCTAGTAATTAATCTGACACAAAAATGTTGAAGGTCCACACTGACTGTGATTTTGTATAGTACATGTATTTTAGGGGTCCCTATTGTCATAAGGTAATGCAGAAATATCTATCGACATCCTGGTTACCGATTATAAGCAGGTATGCTAACTACATCAATCTGGTTATGCTTTTTTGTCCTCAGCGTCTGGATGCGTGCTAGTTTCTATCATGGACAAAACTGCGAATTAACTTTTGCGAGAAACTTGAAGAGACATTTTTGAAAGAAATGTATGCAGAATGCGTACAATTGCGAACGCCAGAGGCATGTGCAACGACTACAGGTATGACTTCCTTGATCTTCCTTTTCATCTTTTGATTTATTACGAGTCACCTTGAGTAATTTAAACACAATTAACATATTACGAGTCACCTTGAGGCATTTAAACACAACATATTTCATGAAACACTTTGAGAGAGAGAGAGAGAGGGAGAGAGAGAGACCTGCTAAAATATCAAAACACCGTGCTTCTGTTAAAAACACTGAGCCATGCACAACCGTAGTAGTGGTTGTCCTACTTACACCTCGGCGTACTCCTCAAAACATCCCCCTTTCGCCAGCGCCAGCGTCCTCTTCTCCAAGCTGACCGTCACCCAGCATAGCGCTAGCCAGATTTCAAACCACCTCATGTTCTCAGTAATACCCCCATGCTGTATCACACACGAACTGGTCTCAAAAGTAACATTACGCTCTTTAAATCTGTTTAAAACAAAGTATTAGGCGCGTCTAACTAAATATACACCAAGCACTTTAACCTTCCGTGTTATTTCCATGCGTGACGTGACCGCGAACTCACCGCCGGAGGCATGTTTGGCAGTCTCTTCCACCCAGGCGGGGGATGTGATGAGATCACTCCCGATATTCTTTTGATACGAGTCCCCTAATTAATCAAATTAAAGAGATAAAGAGTAAGACTGCCACAACTCCGGCCAGTACAACCGGGCGATAAACCACGGTTATCTTTGTGAGCGGATGGATGCGGAAGGAAACGGGCGGATAATATTTTCATTGATAACTATATATATATAAGGCCTATCGTGCAAAAAATATTCTAACAAATATTGCGTTGATTTAATTTAATTGTCTAAATTTCTTTAAGTAAGTAACGGAGATTTGTTCTGCGTGATAAATGTCAAACATAGCATTTAAAAGGAAATCTTGTCTAAAATTTGGCAAATGACAATTTTAAAAAAATGAAAGAAAAAACACAATATCGTCTATCGATTGGGAGAAGCAATTTAAATGAGGGTGCAATGTCCAGGCCTTTAAAGTTTTCATATCTTTTAAACATTAATTAAACCTGTGAACTACATGTAACTAGAAAAACTGTACATAATCGTTTATGCAGTATTTCATTGTCCAAAAAAAAAAGTTATATAACCTCTTCTCCCCGCCCAAAACACACACACAAACACACACACAAACACACACACACACACACACACACATGCGGACACAAACACGCACACACACCACGGAGAATAAACACGTCCAAAAAGGAGACTACTAGTAGGCCTACATGTAGAATTAATAAAATACAGCTGCTGTTGTACTGACCTTAATTCACAACACCCATCAACTTACTTTGTGTTATTCGAGGGTTTGTCCGTACCAATCACTGCGGCTGTTTGGGTCTGTTCGTGGTTTCGGTTTTTACAGAATTGTTCAGCGTACAACCTCAAAACTGTTGGAAAGTCGCCAGAATATTTATCTTTTGGCAGTTTGGAGTATTTGGTACAGAGTATTTGGTACAGAACAACTTTGGTAACGTTTTTGAGTAAGTATTTAAGTAAAGGCATTGGTTTTTAAATTCAAAAATCCATTTTTCAGTAGTTTATCAGTGGAAATTTTTCAGACCAGTGGAAATCTTCATAATTAGCTGAAATGAGGCTGATGACCCTGCATGACGTCATGCTAAAGTGGAAAACTCGCAAGACCACGTGAGCTGGGGATAACTTTGTTAGCAGTGAGCAACCCTTGGAATACATGTACATGTATCATCTTAGAAAACAATGCAAAAGCAACAAGCAAAATATAATGAATACTTTGTGCAAAATACGATTTCGCCAGAACTGAACCGAAAACCAGTAATATAACCAGGGAAAATTATAAATTCTGACAGCTTTTTTTGTTTGTTTATTTGTTTCTGCTCGGCACGCTAGTCTACCATTTATCATTACAACCAACGCCTCTCTCCTGCAAATGCTTGCTTTTACGCGAGACTTTGAAGTCGCGAGACTTTGAATTATCTCGGATGGTTACCCTTATGATGGAATGAGGAAATAATTCTCAACTTCCAGAAAGAAATACATAGGGATTACACATACCTCGCGCAGTTGTGATATCTAATGCTTTTGGGATTAAGATAAAGAAACTTTCCAGACACCTTCTAAATCCATCTTCTTGTACACATATTAATAGCACGAAATGCACTGAATATGGGTTTAAATCACCTGGCATGGAAAACCTAAAGGAAGGGAAATGTTATTTTTTGGACTTAAATAGCATTTTTAGTCTTATTCTTAAACATAGAGCAAAACATGTAATTTATAGGTACAGTATGCAGCGTATATGGTGTATAGCCGCTTAAAAAAGTGATAAAGAGAGAAAGTTATATCAAACAGTGACCTTTGTTATACTCCAGCAAATCAACAATAAAAAATAATAGTCCGTGAAATTAAAAGACCTAATTAAAATACTGTTTATAAATATTACAAGGCAGCAAAGCTGTCAAATGTACAGACAAAAAGCAGGAAATAACAAAACAGGCTACTGTCAATTCTGATGCAAAAGTACATTATGCTTAACTGCAAATTCAACATCAAATTTTAATTATGCTCAACAGGTATTACCAATGTAAGTGAAATGTGTAACAAGCGTAAGGCTTCAGGCCCATGGGAGTTTAAGTTCACACTTTGAAAATGCCAGAATGAGAAAAATGAAAATTTCACATAAAACTGCTTAAATTCAATAATAAATGATAACCCATTTGAGCTGGCTTCCTTATTTGAACTGCATGCCAATCCTACAAATCATATTTGTAAGTTGAAAATAATAATAAGTAACACAGTTTTCTTTTCATAATGTTTGTAGTAGCAGTGCAAAAAGATTTTTGTCAATTTTGATGTAACATTACATAATAAATTACAGAATAATTATCACCAATTTTTGATTATTGACTATAAATAGCATGGACATGTAGAAAATTTGATTACCATTTGGCTTCATGTCCATGGGAGCTTCGAGTCCCACAATGAATATGCCAACATGATAAAAATGAATATTTCACTAAAATGTATAACTTCCAGAAAAAGAAGCCAATTAGACTGCTTTTCTAACTCAGGCTGCATTTTAGTCCTGTTTCTTTTTTGAAAGATTGACAATCATAAGTAACATGGTTCTCCCATAATGGTCATCATGGCAGCAGCACCCAAAATTGTGTTTTCTTCTATTTTAATGCAATATTACATAATGCTTAACAGCATAATGACCATCAGTTTTTATTAATAAAAGATCCGTATC